TCAATCATTACTATGAACCATACGTTCTTACCTCTTAGCATAAGTATACAAACTAATGCAAACAAGAGAGGTTAACATTTAACAACTCATAAAAACAAGGATACCAGACTTAGTCTCTTAAAACACACTAGGTATCCTTCATTTACATTTTCCTTGTTAGTACAATTCTTCTAAAACCAATACTCCATGATCAACACATTCCATAAAACATATCCATTTACATGTTCATATGAATCCTTTACATTACTCTTCAAGTTATTACCAAAATAGTTAACATATTATTTCTAGAATTCACGCATCAAGGGACTATTTACTAGGCATTAGCAATTAATCTCAAAGAGATATTTCACCATAACATGTCACACACAAATTCCTCATTTCATTCAACTTTCTAAACCTTCATGCATTGCAAGCAAACTCGTATGCAAGAATAAGTCAAGAAGTACATGTTTATTTCCAGACAAAACAGGCAAGTACATGCTAGCGGACTCTTACCAAGTAAAATTGCATGGTTACATGTCATATAATAAAATGTAGATGTTTAGCCACCGAGTTTAATAACCAGTCAATCATTATACCATGCATATTTGTTTTAATCCTGAGGAATGACAAGATAATAAACAACATACCTTACTAGGAACATGTAGGAAATCACATAACATAACATACGATTTTTCATGTTATAGATTATTCTATGTTTAGCAAAAGCTAATATTCTTCTTATTATCAAAATCATCTATCGAATTAAAAAAATCCAATTTTCAAGACATAGGATATAGTTCCTTCAAATTTTATATTCTCATAATGCAAACAAGATCTTCAATTCTCATTCGAATGTCACAGGGAATGACCATTACCTTAATCTTGTTCAAGTATATCCATAGAGACATATAAACAACATCCAAATAAAGCTAATTTAATCGTTCCTCTTCAATTATCTTAATCTTAGCGATAAAAGAAAGTTCATAGCAAGAAATCAACAAGAAGTTTATAACAAGAGATTCACCACAAGGAACTCTCAACAAGTAAATTTCACATCAAGAGATTGAACAGGAAATCACAACCAGAAACTCATCACAAGCAATTTCAACAAGAGGTTCACCACCAGAAATTTTCAGCAAGAGTTTCAACAAAGAATCCCCAACAAGGGTCTAACAACAAGAAATTCAACAATGAGTTCATAACTGGGAATTCAACAAGAGTTTTACAACAACGAATTCTTAAATAAATCCATAGCAAGATATTCAACAAGAATCTTTCACATCAACAATTATCACATAGTTAACAAACCATTAGCATAAATCAAGTAGTTAACTCACACAAATTTCACAAAGAAGCACGTAAGGCCATACCCTAGGCCGCAAAGTTGACTTATGCTCTGATACCATATTGTAAGACCCGATTTTTCTAACCCAAAATTTTTAAAACTTTATTCATGAAAGTGAAGTTGTTACTTTTGAAAGATGTTACTTAACCGATTTGGAAACCCTGAGTGAGTACAATATTAGTTAAGTTCATAATTCAAAACGCGGAAATAATAAATAGTCCTCTTTCATCAAAACATGTCATTACATTTCATCGGAAATCCATACTCTATACATTTATCCTTTCTCAAATAATACTCTTATTACAATCATTAAACCAACTTCATTATACACTTGGGAGAAGTCCCATTTCACAAAAGAATTGACTCTACATAGTTCTCATATTACATTCACTAATCAAATATCATATCAATTATACAAGGTAACGACTCTATTCTATGCCCTTCTCCACAAGCATCCAATACGCTATGGCCACCACCAGAATTCCAATACATAATACATAAAGCAAAGACAAAAGGGAGTAAGAACTAACTACGGTGACCGTAACGTGGAATTACATAGAGTAATAACATTAAAGTATTACACCCTACATAACATCTAAAATCAAGCATATTAGACTTATACCAATCCATACAATAAACCACATAATGTTCATATATCCAATTAGCATAGGCATCATGTCTAACCTAGACCTTTAAATCAATCGGTACAACATACTATTTAATCCAAATCAAATCTTCATCAAGATCATCACACAATAGTCTGCATTTCATTAAATAACAATAATGCTATACTCAAGCTATACCATACTTACATAGCATTAAAATACTTTTCCAAGCAACACAATACTCCCAAAACAATACTACACACAAGGAACTAATCATACATTGCTCCAAGAGCCAATACCACATAGGGAAAGTCTACACCATAAAAGCGATAGAATACCACGTAGGGTAAGTATACACCATAAAGGCGATACAATACCACGTAGGGTAAGTCTACACCATAAAGGCGATACAATACCCCCTAGGGTAAGTCTACACCATAAAGGCGATTCAATACCAAATCGGGCAAGTCTACACCACAAATGGCGATTCAATACCACATCGGGTAAGTCTACACCACAAAGGCGATCAATACCACACAGGGCAAGTCTACACCACGAATGGTGATTCAATATCACATCGGGTAAGTCTACACCACAAAGGCGTTCAATACCACATAGGACAAGTCTACACCACAAATGGCGATTCAATACCACATCGGATAAGTCTACACCACAAAGGCGATCAATACCACATAGGGCAAGTCTACACCCGAATGGCGATTCAATACCACACTAGGTAAGTCTACACCACAAATGCGTTCAATACCACATAGGACAAGTCTACACCACGAATGGTGATTCAATACCACATCGGGTAAGTCTACACCACAAAGGCGATCAATACCACATCGGGTAAGTCTACACCACGAATGGAGATTCAATACCACATCGGGTAAGTCTACACCATAAAGGCGATACAATACCACGTTGGGTAAGTCTACACCACAAATGCGATCAATACCACGTAGGGCAAGTCTACACCACTAATGGTGATTCAATACCACATCGGGTAAGTCTACACCACAAAGGCGTTCAATACCACATAGGGCAAGTCTACACCACGAATGACGATTCAATACCACATCGGATAAGTCTACACCACAAAGGCGATCAATACCACATCGGGTAATTCAATATCACATAGGGTAAGTCTACACCATAAAGGCGATACAATACCACATCGGGTAATTCAATATCACATAGGGTAAGTCTACACCATAAAGGCGATACAATACCACATAGGGTAAGTCTACATCATAAAGGTGATTCAATACCACATCGGACAAGTCTACACCATGAATGTCGATTCAATACCACATCGGGTAAGTGTACACCACGAATAGTGATTCAATACAGTTATCGTCCAACAACAACTCATTCCATATCACAACAATAAACCATACACAATCACTTCCATACTATATCATTACCAATGAAAATACTTACCCCTCACAACATTATTTCACGATAACATTCATCACCTCAACTACGTCATGATAATAACATCATACTCATCATCATATAACATCATCATGTCTTTTTATCACCATAATCAACACACAACATAACCATCAATCATATAACATACCCCTATCCTTTTATCACAAATAAACAAACCACAACATATTACTCATCATTCACACAATCGTTTACCGTTATCACAATATCATCACACATACACACTGTTAACGATAAAAGCGTCTTTTATAACAGTGTATTACCATAAATGAGTATTTCAGTCTTAATTTAACCAAAGGGTTTTCATACACATCTATTCTCATATTTATGGCTAATACCTCTTCATGAAAGAAGAAGACTCTCAAATGGACCACAAACTTCCAAGAGAGTTTCTATTCG